GATGCGCATGCGCAGTCAAGGGCACGGTAGTACTCGAGCTACTATTCTGAGGCGCTGCTTGTCCTACAGTACTGCCTCAGTGTCAGCGTAGTGGGGGCATAGGGATAGTCTATCCAGTTATATAGAGATCAGTGGGATCATGTGGCGAATGACCCAACGTTGTCTTGACGCCTCGCTTCGTCAGTACATCTCACGAAATCACAGCAACAAGTAAGTGACGTGAAGCGTGAAAATTTTTTAGTGAATTTCATAGTGTCATTAGTGTATTTTAATAATTAACAATTGTTTTTTTTATGTTTTAGTGAAACTAGAAGTGTACGTCTTCCCGGATCCTGAGATGAGGCAAGAGTGGGAAGAAGACGATGGTCGGATGGAGGATTGGTGGTTGGACCAGCTGGAGAGAACTTGGGAAAAAATCCCAAGACATTATGGCATCATTCGCAGGCTTGAGGTACCCATGGACTTGGTGGTGAAGTTCATGGCGTATCTCGGAGAGCATTTTTACGCAAATAATGTAAGTTATCTATCACAATCAGTGATCCTTTTTACATATTTCTTCTTCAACTAATGTATAATTTTTGGTTATAGGAATCACGGCTCCATCAGGTGTTGAGAGAATTCCTCAATTTTCTCCGGCTGGTTCACTGTGAGGATGAGGCGCTGGAAATGCTGCCTCACACTCACGCCATTGCAGCAGCGGCTGTAATGATTCTGGATGCCCAGAATCATTACAACATATAATGTAAATATCAATCGATTTTTTCATTCTATGATCGTCATCACTCCGCTATGCATTGAAATTAATAATAAAAAAAATATTTTGTATGTTTCAGATGCATCATCTCCCAGGATAACCTTTTTAATTTTATTATATCAACTTTTGTAACTAGAATAAGATTATATCATTTGTACTTAGAATAAGTTTTTCTTTATCATTCTATATAGTTTGTAATTAGAATAATAAGTTTTAAAATATAGGGAGGAAAAAAAACAAATTTTAAGTTTCCAATTTTATTTCACAACCCTCAATTTTCAGGTTAATTTAATAGTGAATGTTCACATTTTTCATTATTGCTGATCCTCATTGCTGAAGAGGCATGGGTTGAACTCGCCGTCCAGGCGAGTCCGCCATCCAGCCTCACGGTATTTCTCTAGCTTGGTTGGATCCTGTTGGAAGGCGTTGGATAGTCGTGGTGGCAGATACATGATGCACTCATCGTTCAGAGCGACAACCACTTTAGGACCAAATTTAGTTGAGATCACCTTCAGATCGGTGACTAAATACTTCTGGTT